CATAAAAATCAATGTATACTATATGCAAGTTGCAGTCAATCAAAATGTAATCCATTATTCTGTGCAATTTGCATGAACTTATAAAATCATTTTCAGATTCTATATATATGGAAAGATTTATTAACTACCTTAATGTTTTCATTCAGCGATGTATATAGCAAAGATAATCCAGTAATTTTTGGTTAAGAGAAACAGGCTAGTGAAAAAGAAATCTTTATCCATTAGAATTTGATGAACACACACACACACACACACACACACACACACACACACACAGACTCACAGACACATATGTCCAGATTCACTACAGCCAGTTATTTCTTACCAAAATTTCACTGTTGGAATTCAGCATTTTAAATAAAATATTTGTAGGATTAATTTCAACAGATTGCTCACTAAGTTCCTTTGGATCATCAGTTCTATGGATTTTGATCTCCACTCATCCTGGGTCAGGTCAAGACACAGGTTTTATTTCAAACCCTGAGACAGGCTGAACTCAGGAAGACCTTCCTTGGTCCAGGAGTTGATATTGCCATGCTCCATCATCCACTATGTCCTACACAATTGTGTTTCAATTTCATACTTATTTTTGCCTATGATTGAGACGCTGGTACAGAACATATTCAATGTATCTCTAAATTTTCATGTCATGTCCACGGAATCATGTTCTACTTCAGTCAGTATTCACATTTGTTAAACAAGGTTAAAAGCACTCCATGGCACAGACTATTTAAGAGATGGAAACAGCCTTCTTTTTTTCTGGAAACCCAGTCATGTGTATTATGTATGTCCATGTGCAGATGTTCTGGAAACTTGAAATTTAATTCCTACCTTAGAAATGCTTCTTTCTGTATTCAGATCATGACTTCACACTTTGCTTCCAAAACATTCAGTAAATGCAGAGTAATCACGACTATCTGAATCAAAAGAAGAATGAGGATTGAGGGAAAAAATACTTTTCTATATAGAAATAGCAGATGGGCCTGTAGACTACACATGCAACAATGAAGTCAATATAAAGATTGTCAAGACACGGACCTGCAGGAGAATTTTCTAAATGGGTGCCATTTTCCATGAAAATGATATTGCAACTGGAACAAGACAGGGTTCTGAGGTTACAACTGCCAGGCAAGCACCATGGCACACATCTGAAGGAATCAGGTGGAAGCCAGTTCACAGGTCAGGTCACAGACTTCACATATTTATAAGGAGACTCCAACTTCATCAGATATAATCTAGTCTGTCTCCATCTCAGAACACCTTATCCCACACTTGCATTTCTAGCCTCTATGTTGTTTCCTTGTGTATTTGATTCCTGCTCTCTGAGGAAATCCTCCAGCAACCAGGTTCCAATACTAGGGTTTTTGTCAACCGGTGACTATGGGTCCAAAACATGGTAGCAAAGATATAAAGGAAGACTCCGTATAATGAATTGCCCTCATCTCCCTTGTCCTCTTTTCAGTTGACAATGCACACAGCCTTCCTTCATCACCCAATAGCTGGTGATGAAAGACCAAATATTTGAGACTGAAAGGACAGAGAAAGTGATCCAAAACCTATACTGATGAGCAAGTTGACAGGTGCCTTTCCTGGATTACATATGGGCTACTGCAGTGCTCCACAAGGGCATTAGTACACTCAAAATGAGGTTTCTCTTGTATATACAGAGCAGGTATTGACTATTTTTTGCAAGTTTACTCCTACATGCAGTAAGTAAGGTGGAAACTGTACTCCAGTGAATTCAGATTATATAGTCTGGAAATGACTCCTAAACTGGGCAGGGGGGGGTGAGAACAGGCCGGATATACTAGAGTGTGAGATGAGGCCAATCATTTTACTGCCTTATGATAAAACAAGGCCTATTTTAACTTTTCATTACAGATGTTGGAATGCAGGACATTTATGCAGGCCTATCTCTTCAGCAATATTTTTCATTTGCAGACATGTTTTCACTATGTTTCCAAGTTACCAAGCCTGGCTTTAAATTGCAAAGTTGAAAACCTCTTGCCTCAGGTTCCCAGATGGCTTAAATCAAATGAAATCACCAACTTTCCTATGTCTGAAACATTTTATTAAAAAAATAATAAAACATTAAAATTACAAAATATAATTATGAACTACATTGTAGTAATTCATCAGCAATATTCTATATCAAGATCAAGTGTGCAGAAATCCCAAATGCTTCAATGTATATTAAAATATTGGTGAGTAATATTTTTCACACATGGAAACTTACACAAATAACATTTTATATATACTTAAAATTTTAGAATATATTGAAAAATGTACACAAGTAAATAACTAAATCGTACTAAACACAGTAATTAGCATAATAACCACAGTATAATCAGAATCTTGTGAATGTGTTCTCTTTCTCTTCATATCTCATACTGCCTTGCACTTAACCTTCTTGTCAGTTTGTGACATCACGTGATGGCTATCAAATTATGCAACATGAGATAAATGATGACTCCATGTGACATCAGATTTATTTATGTTACTGAGAACGAAACATGACTTAGACTTTCTCAACATTTATTTCTGAGTTTTATTTTAATATCGTAAGATGCTGCTGAAATGCCACTGTGGATCATGTGCCTAAATGGGTACTACGAGAGTTTAGCAGTGCCATGTCCCCAAAGACTGTACAGAGAGCAGCAAAAGTGGTGTATTATTATCGTGCATGAAATTTATTGCTAGAAATATAATGCTACAACCTGGGCATGAAGGTGTATGCTTGTAATCTCAGGACTTGGAAGGCTAACACAAGAGGATTGCTGGATGTTCAAGATCAGCCTGGACTACAAATGGAGCCCAAGGTTAGCCTGAACTACAAAGTGAGCTCATGATCAGCCTGGCCTACAAAGTGAGCCCAAAATCAGCCTGAACTTCATAGCAAGTTTGTTTCACACAAAACAAAACTAATGGTACAACTTTCATGCATTGAATTCATGCAGTTGTAGTTGTTACCTTATTTATTGCACACTGGTGATTCTTTCTTTCTGGTGTCATGATTTAAACATCACTTCCATCACTCACTAGTGCTATTCTGGCAATCATATTCCATGCATTTTCTTTGAACCCTAGGAACTTATGTGAAATCATGATTCACTTGCATACTCAGGATATTACTATTTATAAATGACTGCCTTAATCTTAGAAGGATGGTGCTTACATTTGTAGAAAAGTACATGATGTGTAATAGGCAGTAGGAGCATACTTCCTTCAAAATAGAGATGATCAAGAAAGAGAAAAAACATAAATTGGTCATGTTAAGGCAACAATAATGAACTCACACCTATTAAACCCACTGATGCCTTCCAAAGATGAACACTTACACTGTGAACTAAAAATAGGCCCTAATGCATTTATACATATTTTAAATTTTCTTTTGTATTTGTGATTATCTTATCATAAACATACATACATAGTTGCATGTCATGAGCTGTTGTGAAGGACACTGCTAATGTGTTTGTGAACATCCTTCTACAAGAAATAATTGATACACATCCAACTGGAAAAGAGTGCAAAAATAGGTGTCATCTATGCAGATGTTGGTGGATCAAAAATGTGGGGGAAATTCTTCAGAATCCTTGAATTATCTTTAAAAACTATATTTTCAATAGTAAGCCTACAAATAGTTTAGCTAGTTACATGTGATACTGAAGCATAAAATAAATGTGCTTTGGATTATCTCCATCATCAAGTGTGATCGCTGGAAATTCTATAAAAATATATTCACATCAATTTTTTTGGTATTTCTACAGATCTTGACTACAAGAGTAATTTGCAAAGTATTTTCAAAATAGTCACTTACATATGTCAAATTTTTATCATAGTGCTGACTTTCATGTATTTGACCATACGCAGGAATACTGAGTGCTTTCTCAGACAGCATACAGAGGCATAATGTTGGAGGTAAGCATCTCTGTCAATGGAAAATTTTACTCAATACATTTTTCACAGCTATAACACAGTGTGTGAGAAATTTAGCATTTATACAATGAAAAATTTGCAAGAAATCCTTCTCACATTAACTACTTACCTGTAATGTTTCCCTGTTTGCATTATTTCATTATTTGATGGCATTATTGTGCACTGAATGCTTTTCTCCATTGTTGGAATGCATAGGGTTACTTCCTTATATGAACTCTTTCATGTCATTATAATCACTGGTGGTGTGTAAATTTCCTGCATTGCTTACATGCATACAGATTTTCCCCATTGTGAGTTCTTTCATGTGTTCATCAGGTACAAAACGAACGGAATGTTTTCCCAAGTTGCTTACCTACATAGGGTTTCTTCCCATTGTGGAATCTTTGATATATTTACAAGCTATGGGCTTGGCTGATAGATTTCCCACACAGCTTACATACTTAAGTTTTTTCTCTGTGTGGGATCTTCTAGTTCTAGAAAATGTGGATTATCAGCAGAGCTTTTAAATTATGACTTATATAAGTTTTCTCTCGAGTGTGAATTATTTTATGGATGAGATTACAATATTGATTGAGAGATTTTCCACATTATGCACCTACATAGTCTTTCTCCCTACTGAGATTTCTATCATGTTTTTTATATTGTATACTGAACATGTTTCTAAATGTCTTGCATGATAAGATTTTTCCCTAATTTAATTTCATTCTTGTTTCTGACAGTGAATGTGTCTGTCTTTTCATTTGTGATGGTATATCTTAACATTAGGATGGCTACATGGATACAGGCCATGAACACAAGCACAATTTTGAATAGGAATGTATAGACACTTCTTGGTAAACTGATACAAGAGTTACAGATTCTGATGGGAAAAACTGTCATGAGACAATTAGGTGTCATCCATCAAAAGAAGACATTGGTGGATCAAAACATGGAAAAAATGATATAGCATACTTAAATTTTCATTAAAAAGTGCAACATTTTTATTAAGACTACATACAGATAAAATATTTATTAAAAAAGACAAAAATATTTTAGGATAATTCTGTTTCACGTTGTCTTCAAAAATGTATGAGCATATATTGACAGAAATTATTTTATAATATTTTGGCAGGTCTCCTCTACATGACTAATTTTGAAATTATTTTCAAAATAGTCCCTTACATATGTACGATTTCACTTAACTCAGATTACTTTCACACTTTTGACAATAAACCTGTATACTGAATACTTTCCCACATTGCATACATAATCTTGGGACATAGTATGACATCACTCAGAAGGTTAGCAGCTATCAGCTGAACTTTTACCAAATCTTCCTTACATGCAGTTACTCCCCATTGTGAGAGGAATCTTATGTTTTCAAAAGGGAAGCACTGCAGCAAATCTTTGTCACACTGCCTACATATATATGATATCTTCCTTGTATGCAAAATTTCCCTATGGCATTTTTGTGTGCTACATATGATCTACCATTGTTCAATTGCATAGAATTACTACACTGAGGGAGTTCTTAAGTGTAGTGACAACCTCAATGGTATGGAAAGTCTTTCTATATTCCTTATGTTCACAGGATTTTTTCCCAGTGTGATATATTTGATGTTATAAAGTGAGAATGTATAAACAAATCCATATACTCATTTCTCATATACATAGAGATATTTTTATAGAGTGAATTTTTTTCTATACAAAAAAGCTACAATTATAGCTAAAATACATCACAAATTACTTATATCAATGGAAAGGGTTCATTTTCAGCACTTCTGTACACTGAATGTTTTGATATATTGGTTGTACCAAAGATGTTCTATAGGGTGTGAGTTCTTTCATGAGTAATAAGGTGACTGCTTTGACAGAAAGATTTCCCACATTGCTTACATACAAAGGGTTTCTCCCCAGTGTGTATTCTATAATGTGATTTACAAGCAGAGGATGTACTGAATGCTTTCCCACATTTGTTACATGCAAAGGGTTTCTCCCCAGTGTGAATTCTTTCATGTTTAATAAGGTCACTGTTTTGACTGAAAGATTTCCCGCATTGTTTACATGCAAAGGGTTTCTCCCCAGTGTGAATTCTATCATGTGCTTTACAAGCATAGGCTGTACTGAATGCTTTCCCACATTTGTTGCATGCAAAGGGTTTCACCCCAGTGTGAATTCTTTCATGTTTAATAAGGTCACTGTTTTGATTGAAAGATTTCCCGCATTGTTTACATGCAAAGGGTTTCTCCCCAGTGTGAATTCTATCATGTGCTTTACAAGCATAGGCTGTACTGAATGCTTTCCCACATTTGTTGCATACATAGGGTTTATCACCTGTGTGAATTCTTTCATGTCTAATAAAGTTAGTCTTTTTATTGAAAGATTTCCCACAATGCTTACATACAAAGGGTTTCTCCCCAGTGTGAATTCTTTCATGTTTAATGAGGTCACTGTTTTGACTGAAAAATTTCCCGCATTGTTTACATGCAAAGGGTTTCTCCCCAGTGTGAATTCTATCATGTGCTTTACAAGCAGAGAATGTACTGAATGCTTTCCCGCATTTGTTGCATGCAAAGGGTTTCTCCCCAGTGTGAATTCTTTCATGTTTAATAAGGTCACTGTTTTGACTGAAAGATTTCCCGCATTGTTTACATGCAAAGGGTTTCTCCCCAGTGTGAATTCTATCATGTGCTTTACAAGCATAGGCTGTACTGAATGCTTTCCCACATTTGTTGCATGCAAAGGGTTTCTCCCCAGTGTGAACTCTTTCATGTACAAGAAGTCTAGGCTTTTGATTGAAAGATTTCCCACATTTGTTGCATGCAAAGGGTTTCTCCCCAGTGTGAATTCTTTCATGTTTAATAAGGTTACTTCTTTGACAGAAAGATTTCCCACATTGTTTACAGGCAAATGGTTTCTCCCCAGCGTGAATTCTATCATGTGCTTTACAAGCAGAGGATGTACTGAATTCTTTCCCGCATTTGTTGCATACATAGGGTTTATCCCCTGTGTGAATTCTTTCATGTCTAAGAAGGTTAGACTTTTGATTGAAAGATTTCCCACATTGCTTACATACAAAGGATTTCTCCCCAGTGTGAATTCTATCATGTACTTTAAAAGCAGAGGCTGTACTGAATGCTTTCCTACATTTGTTGCATACAAAGGATTTCTCCCCAGTGTGAATGTTTTTATTACTTTGACAGCCACTGAGTTTACTGAATGCTGTCCCACATTGCTTGCATTCAAATGGTTGCTTTCCAGTGTGAAGTTTCTTATGTTTTTTAAAGAAATTACTGTGAGATAATGCTTTTGCACATTTTTCAATTATATGATATTTCTCTCTACCATATTTTCTAACAGGTTTTTCAATATTGGATGAAGAAATAGAATTATTCTCATAGTGTTTTTGTACATAGGAGTTTCCCAAATTGCGGTTTGTCTTGGGGGTTTGAACACTGTTAGGTGTTGTGTGGGCTTTCACACTTTTGTTACCTACAAAAATTTTCTGCCCAGAGTGATTTTTTTCACTAAGATCAGATCTCTCCTCCTCATTTTGCCCGTATTCACAGGGTCTCTCTACAGTGTTCCTCATTTCATGCTTCTGAAAGGACTGGAAATCACTGCAGGTCTCTACATCTTCATTACATTTATATGGCTGCTCTTCAATTCTCAAATAATTGTCTTCATCACATCTGTGCAGAAATAAAAAAGATATCAATCACAATGGAAAAGGCTCCACATTAGCAATATTTTTTATGATGACAAATTTAGTTTGATTCCTGCTAAGTAATTCTGATGGTTAACTGACTCACTGCACTGCAGGACTGCTTTCAAAATACTATCCATTCTAAAAATTGTTACTTTTTTTTTTTTTTTTTTTTGTACCAGGGATTGAACTCACAACTGCATGCTTGCAAGGCAGGCACTTATGCCCCAAGATAAATCCTCTACTCCATTTAGGCAATTTTAAATTGTTATGTGATTCTAATACTTAATATCATTTTAGGAGACTGGTACAAATGAATAGCAAACATTGATCATTTTTTGTAGCTCTTTGTGTCTTAACTCCCCTTTGTCTATTTAGCCTGATCATCTTTCTCATCTACAGAACATAAGGATTTCTGGTCATATATTCTCTTTCTTTACTTTCACTTCTCAAATAAGTTTTTAATTTCTCATTTAAGAAAAAATCTGAGTTGTGGCTAGGGATTTAGCTCAGCAGCATAAGCACCAGCCTGGCAAGCATGATATTGTGAGTTCATTCCTCAGTACCGAGAGAGAGAGAGAGAGAGAGAGAGAGAGAGAGAGAGAGAGACAGAGAGAGAGAGAGAGAGAGAGAGAGAGAGAGAGAGAGAGAAGAAAACCTGTAATATTTCCATTTCTATGTCTGAATTATTTCACTTAAGGTTCAATACTTCTTGTTTCTTGGGAAATGATATCATGGTTCCCCAGATAGCTTTTTTTTCAACGTGGAGTTAAAAACAGGTCATAGAATGAACTACATTTGCTGACCTATTATTTGTTTTGTTGAGAGAGATTTTTATTGGCCATCAACTTGTCCAAGCTGAACTTCAACTTATCATCCTGCAGATTCAGCTTCCCCAGCTGCTTGGGTATTGCAGAAATGCACCACAATGTTGAGCTGACTCCAAATTTTCTTTACCTTGGCATGCAGTGATGGGCATCTGGGCTCTTCTCAATGCTTAGCTACTGTGAGTTGATTCTTGTATTAGATATTGTAAATGCCTTTTCATGTGCTTTAACAAACAACACACTCATGGTTCACTAACATTTGATGATTTTAATGTATTTGACAATATACTGAGAGAATCATTACACATAATGACACAGTAATGACCCACTCAACAGTCAGGAGATAGAGGCAGGAGGATTGCTCTGAGTTTAAGGCAATTATGGGCTTCACAGTAAGTTCAAAGTCAACCTGAACTACAGTATAAAATCATGGCTCAAAAGATTTAAAAAAGGATATCATTGTGGATGTACATGTGAAACAATATGAAACATGTTGTTTTAATTTTCAGACCACTGAATAGTTTTTACCATGTTTGTATTTTATTTATCCATCAACAATGTATGAGGAATTTTAAACCTTAACAGCTCAATATTTTATGGGATATTTTCATAATACTTATTGTAATAGTAGAATTCATTTTCATTTTGAAAGCTGATGCTATGTGAATATAATTCTAGATCATGAAAGTCTCAGTATTCACATGTATATATAAATGGTATTGTGAAGGTGGGTTTTTATCAACTTTCACAATTTGTTCATTTCCTACATATCAAAATACAATATTTAAATTTATTATCATACATTTCTATGATGTTGATCATGAAGGCAATTTTTAAACTGATACATTAGATAGTGTTATTTACTACATGTATTAGAATTACCTCTGATTCTTATATTTCAATATGTTTCTATGGATTCCCAGATAATACAAAATAAAATCAAGTATATCTCTTGGTATTTTTTGAGGTTAAATAAGGTATAACATGATCTCATTTCTTCAGGTTCCTTTGTTTTAATATTTATGCTCACACACTGACAATTAAGTAATGTTCTCTTTCTCTTATGTGTTTCAGTCACCTTATATTACTTGAGCAATTTTTGTCCTCTTCTTTAATTTGCTGATTATTCCATATTTTTCCTGTAATATGGACATAGAAATAAAATACACTTACTATAACTGTACATTAAAACATCTCTGATTTGATTTATACTCATAGTATAGTATAATCAGACTTGAGATATACAAGCAAATGTTATTATTATCAAATATATTAAACTGTATCAATGAGCAATAATTAATGCTGTTAGTATAAACAAACGTATCATCCTTACCTGTTGCAGTAATATTCATATATGTTTCCCACATCACTCCTCTGTAGAGCTTCTTTTGGGATGGAGTCAGCAAATCCCACTCTTCTGGAGTGAACTTCACAGCTACATCCTCAAAGGTCACTGTCTCCTAAATAATGACAAGGGTCCTGAAGTTCAGGCATACATAACCTGATATACCTCAGTTCCTGTAATAAGTAGTCTAACTGAAATTCATTCTTTCAAGTATTAACTGCATGTCATGGTCATCAAAACTCAAGTACATTCAAATATAGTCACCCAGTAACACTGATGCTAGACTATGACACGCTGCTAAAGCAATCACAGAACTGTACCATGGTTTGTCTCGCAGGGCCACCAATAGTGTAGTTTTTCAGTTACTTTAAAGCAGAGCTCAAAGAGTTAGCATGCAAACCACCATTCACAAAATATTGGTTATTTATAACACGGAGTTTGTCTTTCTTATCAACAGCATCATGGTTTGAATCTAGATTTATAGATAAATATTTATTTGAATATGAAAAGAGATTTCTGAGAGATTAAAATTTAATGACAGAAAGGTTTTATTTGACCATTCTATATACAAGAAAATAAGGGAAAATGTAGTTATAAATCTATAGCTCAGGGATACTAAATTATCTCCTTGTACTTATATACTGGAAATTCCACTAGGGTGCAAAGGAAGATAATGTGGGGAAAAAACCATATATGAAATGCTTGAACTAGAGTGAAAATTGCGGAATAGCAAAGTAACTGGTCACTAAATACAGAAGGAAGAGTTCAGTACAGTGGAGTAGTATATGCTTGTACTCTCAGAACTTGAAATCATGATGTAAGAGGATTACCAGAAATTTCATGCTTGCCATGCATACAGTGTCCACCCTGGGCTATGTAACAAGGACAGTTCAGACTACAAAGTGAGGCCATTCATTAAACCCTGTACCAAATGAAAATTAAAATTAATTCACAGTCATTGACAAATCACAACTTTGCACCCAGGATATATCTCAATGGTACAAGCACCTATATGACATTTGCAAGGGCCTGAATACAATTTCCAGTACCAAAAAGAGAATTCAAGTGCACCTTTGATTAGTAACAACAACTGTACATGTATGTTAGAGAAAAAAAAAACCTGCAAACATTGAATATCTGTGGGCAAGGAAACTTTTTGCATAATAAACAGGAAAACATTTGACATTCAACATTCATATCAGTGGACAAATGGATCTCAGGAAAGGAAAACAACCTTCAATTCATTCACATGGAATATTATGTCACAACTCAGCTGGCATTGTGCTTCTAAGCAAGAAAGCACAATATGTTTCATTTACATTCAGAAAGAAACAGGTATGTCAATAGAAATCTGGCCTGCACACGATCCTTGCCTATGTGCATTGGCGAACAATTGAAATGGGAAAGAGAAGCATGAATTACTGTGAAATTTATACTGAAAAATAGTTAGTGCAAAACTCTTCTGAAGAAAATCAAGCAGCCATGAAAATTAGAAGTTGAAATCTATGAAAATTGGAATTAAACAAGAAAACATTTATTGGGAACACAATACAAAGATTTTACATAGAGTTAAGATCAATGAACACAAATCTAAAAATAAACAAAATTTATGTTTTGTTTATGCAGAAATAATGAATAGAAAAGAAAATCTAAATCACATTTGTGAAAATAACCAAACAATATTCAAGTGTGGAAGAAAAAATAATTAGATTTATTCTTAAATTCCACAAAATCCTTTTCTATGGAGTTTATGAAAATCTACACACAAGTGAATTCTTTCTAACATCTACAAAATATTTTGTTCTATGATTCCTTAAAATACACGTGATTCTTTTCAAGTGAAATTACAGACTCAGAAACTGTGACCAAGAGAATAAATGAGAATGTACTTTGGTTTGGATTCACTTATCAGCCCTTGTGAATGACTGTGAGAAATGATTGAATTGATAAATACCACAAAAATCTCACAATATATTTTTATGTGCAATTTCAATGCTAGTTTCTAAAAACTTAAAGGGAATAAGTTAAAAATATAATTTCCATAAAAGAGCACATTGTAAACTTTGGAATACTTCCAAAGAATTGTCATCAATTATGCAATAATACTTTCTGACCTGAATGTATTTTTCACATGGTTACCTTCATTTCTTGCTTAAGATCCTTTAGTGAAACTTTCTGAATACACCTGTGACTCTTTCACTGTTCTCATTAAATCTATACACAAAAGCTTTGAGAAATAAGATTTTCTTTAAATGATTAAAACAATAAATTGCAATACAGGTACTAACTGATTTGTATGTGTTTATGTGTCTTGAGATATGAAATGACTGGACAGTTTCTATATTAGATAGTGTTAAACAAACTACAGTTACAAATATCAGTGTAAAAAATTCAGTGCTAACAGTTGTGAAATTTGAAGTTCACCAAAAGGAAAACAAGTCAGCCTATCAGAAGAGGAGACATTATCAGGAGAACAGGTCAGATTAAAAGGGACTGAGAAAACAGGTGTCAGAGCTGATTAGTAGCTAGACAACTAGGTAATCTGCAAATACTCTCATGATCCGGAGAGCAGTGTTTATTGTGTGCACACTGATACAATAGGTTAAATAGTAAGCTATGCAAAAAGACATACCTCAATGCCATTGATTCAACAAAACATACGGACACTACATGAGCTTGATTATATTCCACATGTACAGTCAGCGGTTATTTAGAAACAAATATCATTCCTTAATATATGGCCCATATAAAGAGCAATCAACTACATAAACAGAAACAGTATTGGAAGAGAAAAATCAATCATTTACAAG